AAAATTAAAATCCTAATAAAAAATAAAATAAAAAATTTCATGGGATTTCGGGTGCACTAACCTGTATTTGTGTTTTGGCAAGGCTGAAGATGAAGGATATGATATCAAGACTTCGAAGGGGAAGTGATTGATGATGGCTACGAGACTAAATGGTGTTGGGATATAGAAAAATGCTCATTAAACCCACAAGACACAGACTCATTTTCACACACTGCCCAGAACCGCTAAATTCTCTTTTATTTGGATTATGTACAAATAAAATCTTAACAAAAGGGCTCTATTTATAGGGAGCAAAATATCCTAATCGTCATAGGAAAAAGCAATATTATAATCCTTATAAGAAAACAATATACTACCTCTTGTAGGGATCTGTAGTAGTGTTGAAAATCATTTTCTTGATATGACATGGGCTTCCTGTTTTTGCTCCATTATCCCAACAAACGGTGGAGCAAATTTCTGATAAGTCATACTCCAAGTTTGATTTTGCGTCCGAGATAGCGGAGGGGAGGGGAAACGTAGAAGATAGGTGGGGGAGGGAACCACCCAAGATAGGAGAGGAAAATTTTAGTCAAATGATCAATTTGACCTTTAAGGAGTATTTTGGTAATCAAGGGAGGGGTCACAAATAAGAGTTTTTTGAAATAGGGTAAAAAATCTAAATAAAATTACAATGTTATTTATGAAATTTGCCAATCATTACCCTCGTTATAATTTATAAAAAGAGGTTTTAAGCACTAATGTTATATTTATGTTATTGCCAACATGAACTTAGCTCAGCACTAATTAGCACATATCTTTGACTAAAATATTATGAGTACGAATCTTCACCCTCACTTATTATACTAAATTTTTTTTTTATTTATGTCATTTATCAATATTCTTATGTGGATTTTAATTAGGAAATTTTAAGTAAATTGCTAAATTCTGACATTCACTTAAGAAAATGTCCATTTGTTTATAATTTTGCAAAAATAGCTAAATGACATATTTATAATTTTACTTTTTTTTAGTTTTTTCTCCATAATGTCTTCCTATATTTTTTTGGAATTTACAACTATTAGCAACCCCAACAAACTTGCTTCTCAATTCAGATATTGCTTCGTACACACTCAACATAGATTTGTTCCCATATTTAAGGGATTTAATTGATTTGATTTTATATCTCCACCTTTTAAATTTTAGTCTTTAGGTGATCTCTCATATCTTTTCCTGCAACAACCAATTGAACGACCCATGTATCTTACAAGCTTTTCGCTACAACGATGGATTAAGTTTCATCCAAAAATCACTCAGACCAAAAATCTATTTTAGTGTCGGTAGTTTCTTATTACATTTTAAGTATTGTCATGATTGCAAAAGCTTCATGGTATCTACTACCATTGGCTTGGGCATTGATTGAGGTTAGTCTTATTTAATTTTCTTTTTGTTTACTTTTCTCTTAGTTTTATTCAATTTTCTTTTCGATCTGCTTCTCTGTTCTCTCTCCCCTTTCTATTCTTGTTGGAGTTTGCAACTTAACCCTAGAAATTAATTTCCCCCTCTTTTCCCCTCAAGTTCTTTATTATATGTCACAATTGTGCTCACAAATTATAGGAACGAGTTAGTTGTGGAAGACATTATAGGTATTGCCTTTGTAGATACCAACATTTATCCCAAGATGAAATGCAACACTAGTACAGACCACCACTGTAGATATTGATATTGACCTCGAAATGGAAATGTGACACCACCCAATGCAGACCACTGTAGATACCCACATTGACCCCAGAAATAGAAGTGCAGACTACTATAGATACTGACATTTACCCAATAAATGGAAGTGCGACTCCATTGCAGACCACAATTCACCATGTGCATATGTTACTAAAGCGATTACCATTTGACAATAGTGAATTCTATACTAATCGCATTTCTATGTGATGGTAGATGAGACCAAAGCAAATCACCCAGACCACAATTTTTAAGGTGTTTGAGATCAATGATGTGAAAGTATGGAAATCTGTTTTATTATGTGTAGTTTCCTACCTTTGTGATGATTGCAAAAGTATCTACTACCATTGGCTTGGGCATGAAGTAAGCTTAGTTTTATTCAATTTTCTTTCTGTTTGCTTTTCTCTTAGTCTTATTCAATTTATTTCTGTTTGCTTCTCTCTCCCCTTCTCATTCTTGTTGGAGTTTGCAACTTAGCCCCTGAAGTTACTTTCCCCCTCTTTTCCCCTCAAGACTGAATCAACTAGATGTTTTATGCTTTCAAATCAAATCATCCACTGGTAGCCCAACAATGCGGACGAAGTTCCGATACCACTAGCCGTCCCATCTTGATATCACATAGAAGCACCAGAAAGAATGTTTTACAGTTTCGTGAGGCTAATCAAACAACGGCAGATAATTCGAACATGAAAATCACATTGGTGCATTAGCGGCCGGGAAGAAAGTCACTCATAGTCCAGGCTTCGAACACATTAATAAGTTAATAAAAGTTCTTTATTATAGGTCACGATTGTGCTCACAATGATGGGAACAAGTTAGTTGTGGAAGACATTATAGGTATTGCCTTTGTAGATACCAACATTTATCCCAAAATGAAAATGCAACATACTACTGTAGATATTGACATTGACCTCAAAATGGAAGCGCGACACCCAATGCAGACCACTATAGATGCCGACATTGACCTAGAAATGGAAATGCATGCTACTATAGATATTGATATTGACCCCAGAAATGGAAGTGCAGACTACACTATGTATGAACCCATTAAATATATTTACCCCTCCCACCTACAAATTTTAAATTTTAGATTTTAGATTTTAACATAGAAATTTATAAATTTAAACGTTAGTCAAATTTTTAATAAATTTTTATTTATTTACTTTCAATTTTAAATTAGATTTTAGTGGTTTCAATTTGATTATTTAAAATTGATTCCTACAATTAGGATGCGTTGTTTTTTCAGGTTGTTGAACCAAATAAAATCCCTAAAATTAAGCACATATAATTATAGGGGTATCTTTGTCCAAAATAATATTTATGATTCTAAAAAACGTCATTTAGCCATCTACTCAATATTTGATAATTGACTATTTTTTAAAACGCCTTATTTATTTTGGCCATTTATGCCGTTGTCCCTTTTAATTATCTTATTAAACTATTACTAACTCATTTGTTTCAGGGTAAGTCCGTCACATATTTGGGCTTGGAGGCCCAAAATAATCCCACCACTTTTCCCTTTTATCATTACTTGAAGGATGCATATTTTAAGATTAATTACACAACTAGTCCCTTTTTAAAGCACAAACAATAAGCTGTTACTCAAGATAAATTAAGCATAGCTTTATACAATCTAATTCCTACATTAATTTCTAATAAAAATAAGAAATTTAGCTATCACAACAAAGTCTAAGAAACAAAGTATGTTTCTGAATTCCATGGAAAAATCAAGAACCAAGGGAAAGAAGAAAAAAACTAGTGTATCGATTATTCATCTCAGGAGTAGTCTTCATGATTCTTAACCTTGAAATTGACTTTTCTTGGTTCTCTGACGGTCTCCGTTGCCCTCCAAGATCGTCAGTCTTTCAATTTGCCTTCATTTTTTTGTCTTTTCTTCCTTGCAGCCCTAGTGAAACCCTAACTTATAGGAAATAATGAATTAATTTACACTATTAAGAAGTGTCGAGGCGTTGTAACTTCATGTGCATGTGGATCTTCAACTTCGGAGCATCATGACACTCTACGTTGGCATGATGGCGCTCTACTCACGACGTTTTGCTAAAGTGATAGTCCCGCAAGTGTCAAGGCCCTCTATGTGAACTTGGAGGGCGCTGTTTACTCAATCTGAGCATGTTAAATTGGTTATACAAGTGTCAAGGCACTTAACGTGCGGTCGAGGCGCTACCTCCTAAAGACTTTTTGCATGAATTACTCTTGTAGGTGTCTTGTCACTTCAAATAAGATCAAAGTGATTTAATAATTCAAACTCCTCTTATATTATTTTATTTTATTCAAATGTCTGATTTCTACAAAATATTAAATCATATAAGTGTTGGGAAATTAAGGCTCTACACAATTTCCCCTTCCACAGTTATCCAGCAAAAGTAGAATCACACAACACAAATAATAAGAGATTAAGGGAAAGAACAATAACGACACAAAGAATTTTATATTGGTTCACCCAACAATGGCTACGTTCAGTCTTCCACTCATATATGGGTTCCACTAATATGAGATTGGTACGACCGCTCACAAATATCTCTCTCAGATATTCATCCTCTAGAGGTCCCAACAAAAGCTCTATAGCTTCTAAGTATTCTAACACACTATACTTAGGTACGAGAATGAAAAACTCATAATAGAATCAAGATCTAATTACCCCGAATACGTTGATCTTGATCTTTCACAACGCTGCTGCCAATACCCCGAGCCTCTACCTCAAAACTGCCACAAAATGCTCTCATAACGACTTTAAAAATGATCAAGAAAACCTAAAACCGAAACTGTTGTATTTATATTGTCGATACAGTGCCATGGCACTACAGACGGAAGTTCGTGCACGCCTCATCGTGACAGGTCGCAGTGCTGCCTCCCCAGCCTCCATGGCCTACAGCTCCTCTTCTTTGACTGTTTTCATCCCTGCTTCGTCCCAACTCATCCCGACTCGATCATGACTCTTTCTGACATCGATTTGGCTCCACCAATTCCAACAATAAGTAAATCGAGAATAAATGATGTAACTCAAACTAGAAAAGAATACTCTGTAAATATACTATCCCTTCAAGAGGAACTAAAAAGGAATACTCTGAAAATATATTATTCCTTCAAGAGGAATACAAGACTCCTTTTATGGAGGAGTGGTGGCTTAACGTCGTTTACTAACCGGCGGAAATTAAGAAACCAAGAAAACAGAAGTTTAACCAACTTAAAAAACTAATGGCTAGGTTACATTATTAACGAATAAATATGTTAACTACATCAATTTTCTTACCTCTAAAAAGGAACTCGTTGAGAAAAGAAGCTAAAGTGAATTCATCTAGAGCTTTGATAGGTATACAAGTCTGCAACATTGAAAACGAGGTAGATCTTGAAATTCGAGGGTAATTGAATCTTGTTAGCCTTGGTGCCATATTTTTTAAGGATTCGGAAAGGTCCCAACTTCATTTTCTTTATTTTTATTGTATGTGCTTGAGGGAAATCTAATTTTTTTGAAGATAGATCATCACAAGGTCGCCTTCTTTCAAATCCACAGCTCGTCTTTTTTAATTCGCCGCAGTCTTGTATTTGGAGTTGGCTTGATTAGTGTGATCATGAACTTCTTGGTGGAGCTTCTACATGCGAGTTGCCATTTGTTCAACTTCTAAGCTAAAATCCACAGAAGAAGGCAAATTGGTGAGATCAGCGATTAATCTCGGAAATTTAGTATTAACAACTTCAAATGGGAGACGTCCCTATAGATCTATTTTGATATGATTGTAGGCGAACTTGGCTTGTGCAAGAACAAGATTCCTTTGTTTTGGATGATCTCCACTGAAGCAACGTATAGGAGCTCAAGGCTTACCTCCACTTACTTGTTGAAACAAATTCATTATGCAATCTCTCCGTTCATGATGCAAGCTACCACATCAGATTATCAGTTAGCAATATTCAGTCCGTTACAACCCATGACAGTAAGGAAATTGAAATGGAAGACTTGCCTTTTTTTAAGCATTAATGCCTCTTAAATATGCCTCATTCTCACCAAGAAATGTATATATTATTGTGAGCATTTTTTCAGCATTTACTTTCTGCCTATAACATATATCTCATAAAATCAGTTCCTTCTAAAAACTTATTTTAGTGCCGTTAGACAGCGGCCCAAAACTTCCCTAGTTTAGCTACTAAGTTCTCTTCTTTCTTCTGTTATATACTTGTAGGATTGTTTTGCAAAAGAGATGAATGATAATTATTCTCTGCTGATTAAAATTGTGTAAACTCTTTTATGGTATCAGAGCCATAACAGAAGAAAGCATAATCCTTTTCAGCACTTAATCTTTCTCATGGCCAAAGATAACTCTCACTATCTATCCAAACATTCCACCAATGCTCAAGTCTTATATCTATAAGGCTTAGCTTCTCAAATTATTTACTATGGAAGTCCCAAGTACTTCCTTTAATAAGGAATTTGGGGCTGGAAAAGCAGTTCATAGACAAGAGCTCCACTGGTGAAATAAAAGACATGGATAAAGATGAAGCTGAAAGCAGTATTTGGCTGAACAACGGCGGGTTGCTGACATCTTGGTTGCTTAGAACTATAACGGAAGACGTACTCGTCATGCTTGAAGAGACAGAATCCGCCTGCAAAATCTGGAAATCACTCGAAGATTTGCTCCTAACCATGACAAAAGAAAACGAGATTCATCTAAATGAAGATCTTTTCCATTTAAAGAAAGGCAACCAGTTTATGGATGAATACTTGAAGAAATTCAAGAAATACTGTGACAAATTGGCAGCAATGAAGAAACCTCTTGATGACACAGCAAAGGTATTTCATCTATCTAGAGGATCAGGAGCCAAATATAAGGAATTTCGAATTGCCATGCTCTCTAAGCCACCTTATCCAACATATAATCAGTTCATCCTCAGCCTAAAAACCTATGATCAACAACTGTTATTTGAAGAAGAAGAGGAAAAATCTATTGGATCCAATCACAACCAAGCTTATTACTCACAAAGAGGAAGATTTAAGAGAGGAGGAAGACAATTTTCTTCCAAAGGAAGAGGTTTCTATCACATCAAACCTCACAACATTCAACCTCACTGCAATTTCAACAAGGCAATACACGTTATGTACCTCAAAGAAACAACAGTTATTCAAATCAGTATGAAGGAAATTCATAACGAAAGGTAAGTTGTCAGATTTGTGGCAAACTAAATCACACAGCCTTGGAATGCAGGAATAGGTTTGATCACTCTTTTCAATCTGAAGAAATTCCCAAGGCCCTAGCTGTTATGAAGATGAATGAAGAAAGCGCCCCCACTTTCTATGCCGACTCAGGAGCTACTACCCATATAGTTAATGATCCGGGTAAAGTTACTCTCTTCAATCTTATAAGGGAAAAGAAAAGTTTTATATGTAGGTGATGGAAAAGGGTTAAATATTACACATATAGGAAATACATCTTTTAAAACTAAAGTAGGACAATTAGACTTAAAAAGGGTGCTGATGTTCCTGATATGACTAAAAATCTTCTGTCAATTAACAAATTAACTCGTGAAAATGACTGCTTTATCATATTCTCTGCTAACAATTTCGTGATTAAGACTAAATAGGGACATGTGTTGGCCAAGGGACATGAAAAGGGAGGACTTTATGCACTGGAGGAGAATGAATTCGATGCTGCTTCAAATAATATTTCTACTTCTGCTTTTCCGGCTTCAGTTTCTAATAATGCTTCTTATTCTATTTGGCATAAAAGAATGAGACACATGAATGATAGGTCCTTAAAACTTCTATGTGAACAAAACCTTGTTAATTTATCTAGTTGAAAAAAAGAAGAAATGGTCTGTGTAAACTGTCAACTTAGCAAAAGTTGTAAAATTCCATTTAGCTTAAATGAAAATCGAACTATGCATCCTCTTGATAAAGTTCATTGTAACTTATGGGGCCCTGCCCCTATTCTTTATTGCCAACAATTTAAATACTATGTTAGCTTTGTTGATGACTACACTCGGTTTTGTTGGTTATTTCCTTTAAAAAGAAAATCTGATTTTTTCTCTTGCTTCGTTAAGTTTCATGCTCTTGTAGAAAATCAATTTGATAGGAAACTAAAAGTTCTACAAATTGATGGAGGGAGTGAGTTCACTTCAATGGCTCTTAAAAATCACTTAAGTGGTCATGGGGTACACCAACAATTCGCATGCCCTTACACTCCTCAACAAAATGAGTAGTGGAACGAAAGCATAGGCATATCGTGGAGACAGGTTTGGTTATACTTTTTCAATCCCAAGTTCTCTTGAAATAGTGGATTGATGCTTTTCTCACTGTGGTGTACCTTATTAATCTAATGCCTTCAAAGGCTATCAACATGGAAACTCCCTACGCTAGATTGTACAAGAAATTACCTAGTTACAACCACATTAGATTTTTTTGTTGTAGATGCTTTCCCTATCTTAGAGATTACTCAAGCAATAAATTCACTACATGCACTTACCCTTGTGTCTTTATGGGCTATAGTAGCTATCACAAAGGGTTTAGATGTCTTGATCCCTTAAATAATAGAGTTTACATATCAAGACATGTAATTTTTGATGAAACAACATTTCCTTTTATAACTAATAATAACAGTGAGTCAAAGAACATTGGTTCTTTAGAAACAACTTCCTTTGCAGATACAGAATCATAGATGAGAAAAGACACAAGAGAAGATGAACCAAATCGAGTAGTATAGACCTCCGAAAAAATAAAAACTCACTCCCCACACATACTCCTTGAAGAACAAGACCACAAATCAACTACTGAGACCTCAAATGTAGTTGCACCAGGACTTGAAGGAAGACAAGAACTCACACCATCAATTGATAACACGTGTCAGATTGAGCAAGGAATACATACGACTAAGCAATCAACAGCCACAACAACCATACCAGCACTGACACAACAATTAGGGACCATCAAAATCAAATCACAAATGAGATTTCTCAACTTTTTATCATCACAAACTCAGACCAATTACCTGATATCAGTGACCGCATTTGCATTGACTTATCTAATTATTTGTCTAACTCTACTGCAGGTATCTCATTTCAACCAAATGTAAACAACAACCACGCTATGATTACACGAGCGAAGTCTGCTGCCAAAACTCAATCTCACCCCAGTGATGCTATTGCTCAAAGAGGAATTATCCCCAATACTCAACACATTTCTCTAATTTCAGCTCGCTCCACTGATGATCTGAAAAACTACAAGAAAGCTATTTGTATACCTCATTGGAAAACAGCAATGAATGAGGAAATGGAAGCTCTTGTGCATAACAACACGTGGGATCTTGTTCAAAGGCCACCTCATACCAATGTCATTGGCTCCAAATGGATCTTTAAAACTAACTCAAGGAAGATGGATCCGTAGAAAGATACAAGGCAAGACTGGAGACCCAGGAATACACTCAAATTGAAGGAATTGACTACGAAGAGACCTTCAGTCCCAGGATCAAACCCACAACGATCAGACTCATCTTGGCCATTTTAGTCAATACAGGAAGGACCCTTAAACAACTAGAGGTGAAAAACGCATTTCTCCATGGTCACCTATAGGAAGATGTCTACATGGATCAACCACCTGGATTCACCAACTCCAAGTACCCTCATCATGTGTGCAAATTGAGAAAATCCATCTATGGGCTAAAACAAGCACTCAGGGCATGGTTTGACGGACTTGCAAACTACCTAAATCACATTGGTTTTATATCCTCTAGTTCAAATCCCTCGGTTTTTATATTTAGAGATAACTCTGTGCTTATACTTATGCTAATTTATGTCGATGATATAATTCTTACAGGTACTCACAATGAAAAAATACAACAACTCATAGACAAGCTAAGTTTAGAGTTTGCATTGAAAGATTTGGGAAAACTTCACTACTTCCTTGGAATAGAGGTCAAACAAACTTCTACAGGCATCACCTTATCTCAAGGAAAATATGCACGAGATATATTACACAAAACAAGGATGTTGGAAGCCTCAAGCATGAGTACACCAATGGCAACCTCCAGTTCCACTCAAGATGATGACAAAGAACCAACTGATATTAAGGAGTATAGAAGTGTTGTAGGCTATTTACAATACCTCACTCTTATTAGGCCTGACCTTGCACAAGCTGTAAATCGAGTGTGCCAACAACTCCATCAACCTACCTTAAAGGATGTCAAAAATGTGAAACGAATCTTGAGATACATAAATAGGACTTTAGACCACGGACTATCCTTTTATAAACATAGTTCTCTAAATTTAACTGGTTTTTGTGATGTAGATTGGGGAGGATGTCCTCTTACTAGAAGAAGCACAACAGGATTTTGTGTGTTCTTAGAAGCAAATCTAATCTCATGGTCCTCCAAGAAACAACCAACTGTGGCTCGTTCAAGCTCAGAAGCAGAATATCGAGCAATGGCCTCCACAGCTGCTGAACTCACATGGTTGTCCTTCATTTTTAAAGACTTAGGTATTCCACTTCTGAAGGCACCTCAACTGTTTTGTGACAATTTAAGCGCCCTACACATGTCTATCAATTCAGTCTTCCATGCTAGAACAAAACACATTGAAATGCACTACCACCTTGTGAGAGAAAAGGTTGCGCTTGGATCTCTCATCACCAAGTATGTTCCCTCAGACCAACAAATAGCGGACATTTTAACCAAGCCTTTAGCCAAACAATCATTCAAGTTTTTACAAGGCAAACTAGGTGTCATTCATCACTTACACCAGTTTGAGGAAGGATGTTGAAACAAATGCATTATGCAACCTCTCTATTCATGATGCAAGCTACCATATCAGAAAATCAATTAGCAATATTCAGTATGTTACAACCCATGACAGTAAGGAAATTGAAATAGAAGACTTGCCTTTTTTGAAGCATTAATGTCTCTCAATTATGCCTCATTATCACCTAAGGAATGTATATATTATTGTGACCACTTTTTTAGCATTTACTTTCTCCCTATAACATATATCCCATAAAATCAGTTCCTTTTAAAAACTGATTTTAGTGTCGTTAGGCAGCAGCCCAAAACTTCCCTAGTTTAGCTGC